TTATTTTATCTAGTTTTATTAGTATTTTTTATTAATTTGTAAATTTAAAAATTATTTGCATAGAAAATTTGAATTGTAAATAAATTAATAATAGAAATAAATATCTATATATCACACAATGTAGATGTCCATTAGACATCTATGATGGATTTACAGCCTACATTTTTTATGGAAACTATATGGAGTTCTATTAGAGATCCATCCGACATCCATCGTGGAGATAGATGTCGAATGGAGCTATGGAAGTTATATGGACGTCCATTAGATGTCATGTGTGGGATTTTTATCAATAAATAATTTTTTCTACCTTAAGATTCTCATACATAAATTTCTCCTGCAACTCGAGAACAGTCATCCCTACGATCACGGCAGTCTTTTTTCCTCGCAATTGCATTGGATTGATCCCCGCGTCGACAATTGCTTCATAAGCATGTTCCAATAATAATCTTGCCATAGGATCGAGCGCGTGGACTTGCTCGATAGATATGTTGAAGAAATCAGCATCGAATTTTTCCACATCGTTAATTGTCCCCATGCGTTCTGGTAAAGCCGGATGCTCTAACGAAATTTCGTAAAAATTGTAATACTTATATTGTAACATTTTGGTTAAAAATATATATTTTTCTAATGTATAATTATCAAAGAAGGGAAATCATAAATAAAAGGATAAAATCAATATATATAAATTGTAATCACCTATGTCCCATCGACGATGATCTGCTCTAACAAGATTAACCTTGTTGAATAGATTTTCTCCTAACTGATTCATATTATTTGAATCTGGAAATCTTCCAGCGATACCGGAAATAACAATTTCATCGCCAGAATTCATATCAATGTCTGTCTTTTCCGCCATGATATCAATTATAGAATATGTCAATTCGAAAGAGTATTATGTATATTTTATATAGCTTGTTTTTTACTATCGTTTTACACTATTGATATTCGTGATATCTTTTGCGCTATAGATGAGAAGGAACTGCCCAATAGAGTGTTGAATTACTCCTTATATAAGCTCGGACATAGTTGCCCTTTTCGGGACCTTTCCGCCCGATATGTAAAACGACGCCTACGGTCCCCCCATTACCGCTCCCAGCAAACATATATTATAATATTTATATAACATCGGAGTAAAAAATTAAAATAACAGCTATAACAGCTGTATTATATAATTGTTATATATCATGTGTTTACTGTTGCTATATAATATATTAGCAAACACATATTATAACAGTTATATAAGTTATATAACAAAAATTTAAATAA